CATGTCTGATGAAACCCCATTACTGAAAAGAACTATAAGGTATATAAAATAAATGTAACCCATTAATTTTTGTTAAAATTATATTACATTATATTGACAATTTGTGATTTGTAATGTTTTATGTATCTGCAGAAGCATAAGGACTTCCATTTGAAAACAGAGCAAACAAAAAAAAAAGAACTGATAATTATATCGACAAGTTTGAAAAATCTACATCTGTGTACTAAAAATGGCACAAAACACATATACACAGAAGATTCTTGGGGTTTTTTTCCTGCTTCAGTAAGATTTTTGCTTAAGAAAAGTATTTTTTTTGAAAACAGACTGCTCTTATTTGCACCCTATCTCTTCATAGGGCTGTCAAAATATTTGTAAAGAATTGATACAATCAAATAGAATACCATCAGTAAAAGAGTTTATTATTTTACTTAATTAGAAGTAAATAGTTTGTCAATTTGCAACTGAGGAAAGCAGCCAAGAATGAAATTAAAATTTTCCCATTAAAAACCCTCCCCAAATTCATCTCCATGAAAAATCTTTTGAACATCTCCTAATGTACCTAAGATTGAATGATCTTAGGAGAGAAAAATCAATTTTCCTATTTCTCAGTTCAACATTCCAGCTTTTTTGTTTGTTTTTGCAACATTTCAGCTTTTAAAACCTGACACAACCTAATTTTGATGCCATTTCTATAAATACTCAATTTCCAAAGAAAATTTTGAGAAAAGAGTTATAAATTTTCTTTCTAAATAATGAATCTTTTAAATTGTCCTTTAAAATAAAAGTTTTATTCTTTTAGTTTCCTTAAAAATTTTAAAGAAGGCACTGTAGTGGCAAGATTTTATCATGGAATTTAGGATGAAATGGTTTACCATTCCAGTTTAAATCCACAAACATTCCCATGACTACTGTGCAAAAGCTCTTAGACAACTGAGATCTGCCAAATATTTACAATTTACATTCTAGAAAAAAATGGAAACTCTTTTTTCCCTGCCAATTTAGCACTTTTCTCCTTTCTTGTTCATAGAGATAAAACAACTTGGTATATTATGTAGCATAAGAAATAAGTGAATTAAGACTAATATCATGATTACTAGTGTAACAAATATTTTGACATGGGTCATTTTCTTACCTTTATTCATAGGTGTCAACAGAAAATTATAGGGAGAAAACAGTCAAGGAATAAAATGCATTTTAACTCTTTTAAGTGGTTTGGTTCTGAGATTATCTGAAATGATCCCAAAGCACAGAGCTATATACTACAGGGATTACCAGACAATGAAATGAAGTCCTCACGCCAGGATTGAGTTCCAATCTTTATATTATACATCTGGAAGAAACTCTCATGTGCTTCAAGCCAGATCTCAAAGTGAACTTGGGGCCAGTTATGGACTGAATGTTTATGTGTCTACCAAATCCATGGTGAAGTCTTAACCCTCCAGTAGGATAGCCTTTGGGAAGTTATTAGAAGTATATGAGATCAGGAGGTGATGCCCGCATGATGAGACTAGTGTCCTTATAAGAAGAGGAAGAGAAACAGAGTTCTCTTCTCTCCGTCTCTCTCTCTCTCCTCCCTCCCTCCCTCTCCCTCTCCTTCTCTCTCTCCATCTCCCTCCCTCCCTCCCTCCCTCCCTCCCTTTCTTTCTCTCTCTCTCTCTCTCTCTCTCTCTCTCTCATTCCCTCTCTCTGCCATGAGGACACAGCCAGGAGGGTCCTAATTTTACCAGGAATCAACTTGGACAGCGCCTTGATCTTGGGATTTCTCAGGCTTTCAGAACCATGAGGAATAAATGTTTGTTCTCTAAGTCTCCCAGTCTACTGCAGACATATTTTGTTAGAACAGCCTAAGCTGACTAACACAGGGTCTAAATTTGTTGAGTATTTGTTGGACAAAGTAAACAAGCAGACATACGAACAACACATCAAACCAGATTCAATCTGACCCAACAAATTAAAGGGTACCCAATCCTTTCAAAGTTGACAGTAATTATGTTTCCATCCTGGGGGTAGAATATTCCTTAGTTATAGGATAAACCTCTGCCTTGGTTATTTAATAAGCAAGAAGCAAAAGGAAATGTTGGTTTGAGAAAGCTCTGGGGGTAATAAAAAAAAAAAAAACAGTGGATGTTGAGACAGATCAAGTTGCTTATTGGTGAATTACTTTTTCCGGTGAAAAATGTTTTTATCCTGAGTACTTGGGACTTCCCTGTGAATGAAAGCCTGAGTATTGCTGATAAGTGATTGTGAGCTGAGGACCAAAAATTCATGAAGCTTTCATAGGAAACTTAGTAAGACTTCAGGACTAACATATACTTCCGTGAAGCTTAGCTGACTTTGGGTGTACACATACACCTGTGTGTATGTATGTGTGCATATGCATGCCTGTTGTCCATGTCCATAGGTGCTAGAGTGATGGAACCAAGCACACTCAAGCATCACAGAATGGCTCTGAGAACAAGCTTTCCAACAGAGGCAGTTAAAAAAGTGACACAATGTCCTCGTCCAGAGGTCAGATCAAAGATATGAAGTTGACCTTTTCTTTTTGCAAGTGGAATATCATCATTCTCATCTTGGAAGTAAGTGAGCACACTGCATTGGAGGGGGAAGGGTGTGTTTCCATTTCAATTTCGTTGTGCATGTAAAGATGACCTCAATGAGACTGTGAAGCCCAGGATATGCAGGTTGCATGTGTTTTTATAGGGATAGGATATAGGCAGAAAGAGATAGACAAAGATGAGAAGGAGGATATTAAGATAGAGACAGAAATGGGGTTGAGTGGTATAACAGAGTAGGAGCTGGGGTGGGAGAAAGAAATGGTATAGGGATAGGGAAGGGGTGGGAGGAAGAATGAGAAAGATAGGGCTTGGAAATGAAAACTCAAATAAGGGATAAAGTTGGGCAAAAGATGGGAGAGAGAGAAATGAGTAAGAAATCATGTGCTTAGCTGCTAAGACAAATGCAGACAAAAACTGACTCTATAGCTATCCTAAAAACTCTGCCAAGGTAGGGCCATGGGGTCAGATTTGATTTTTAAAATGTTTTCCAAGTATAAGCGATCAGAAAATGAAAATATTCTCAAACAAATTTTAGGGTTTTAGCTATGTTTGGCAAGATACTAACTACAATGTCAGTATAAATAAGTTTGGGAGAGAACTATAGGTAACATTGTTCTGTTCCAGTTTTTGGTTTTCAATGATCCAAGAAAAAAAGAAATCAAAATACAGAAGAGAAAAAAAAAAACAAAGCAAACAAAAAAAATCTCTATCACATTAAGGCTATAATGGAGCAGTTATGGAGGTAGTAAGTTTCTGGGTTTCTTCAAAATAATATCCTTGATGCAAAAATACTATTTAGCCATTAAAGTTATTACATTCTTCTGTATCTATTAATATGGAAATATTTACTGAGTGAAACAGAAGCATACACACAATAGTATCCTACAAAGCCATTTTTGTGAAATAGTGTTTGTCTGTGTGTAGGCACATCAACATGTTAATGATGGCTACGTCAGTATCATGAGATTTAAAATGATTTCTACTTTCTTTACATTGTGTAAGAGGTTTGTCATTAATATTACTTACAATAGCAAGTAATCTTTTTAACAATATGAAGAAAACAACTTTTCACTTTGGAAAAAAATAATCTTTCCCAATTGGTGACAATTCTGTAGCAAAGTAATGGCCAGCTGGTACCAGCCAAGATCAGAGAAAATGAGCCGCTAGGGGCATTTACTGCCTTTTTACAGGGCAGATTCTGGGGGCAACCACTGTAGCAGAGAATTCCCTTCTCATCAAGGGGCTTTTGGAAAGAGATTATAGGAGTGATAATCCCAATTTATCCTCTATCTAGACACATCATTTAGTCTTCTGTCTTTACTGGACTGTGAGCTTCTCAGGGTCTGGGAAAGTGCTTTCCAACATTTTCCTGTCTCCAAAGCCCAGCTTAGACATGAAATAAGCAATTAATTTGTACAATGTGAGTGTAGTAAATTGCCATGCTTTATTTGCTTCTGAACTATAAAAGAGGCTTTGGGGAATTCCCTGATCAAAAACTGCTCCTAGGGGACACCTGGGTGGCTCAGGGGTTAAGTGTCTGGCTTCAGCTCAGGGCATAATCCTGGAGTCCCAGGATCAAGTCCCACATCGGGCTCCCTGCATGGGAGAAGCTGCCTGCTTCTCCCTCTGCCTATGTCTCTGCCTCTCTCCCTCTTTCTCTGTGTCTCATGAATAAATAAATAAAATCTTAAAAAAAAAAAAACTGCTCCTAGGATTATGCCTGACACACTGTAGACACTACTCCCAGCAAAAGGACCCATTAACTGAATTCAGACAATTGTCCTATTGTCTATATTTATTTTTACAAATGCAATGTTTTTTTGGTTCACATATTTTTTCATCTACATATTTATGAGACTAGTTTTATAGTAATATAGCCATACTGGAATTTGTTTTATAGTAACATTTATGTTCAAAGTCATTACAATGTACAAATACACAGTCATCTGATACAACTTAATGTTGGTGTGGATACTGTCTGAATGATTAGTTTTTTCAGTGTCCTGCCACCATGGTTACTTTGCCATCAAAGTACCTAAGAGGGGAGCCCAGACACTGTCATCATCTGCTCAGACTAAATTCTTTGCTCAAGAAAGACCACCCCTTGCTTCTTTCTGTTCCAAATAGAAACAAATGTATAAACAAAAACAGCACAAATTCTCCTTTTCATATGATATATACACTAGTACAGAAGAAATAGTTGAACAAAATATTTCATCAGAAGTCATAGAATTGACATGAAGTAACTGCTCTTGATTCTAACTATCCATTCATTTCTTCTCAAAAACAATGTTAGCAAATGTCACATATAGGCAACAACTAAATTTATATCATTGATTAGTATTAGTGAAAAGAGTGTCAGCAGCGTTCCTTTTTTACACTTGGCATTTAATGATTTATTGGCTCCAAATAAGTAAACCTAGAACACTAGGGAGTTTCCTTTACCTTGGCCAGATGAGAGTTGATCCATTTTGTAAAAGTACGTTTTTGTACTATCTCTTGCTCATCTAGAAGAAAAAAAATGAATCTAGTTAGGTAACACAGTATATCATTAAGTTGCATCCTAAAAGACATTGGGTTACAAAGTGTAGAAGTAATCATATTATTTTATTTTCTAACCCATTTTGTCAATTGTTGTCTCGAAGGAAGTGTCAGTACAACTCCAATTTGACGATTCCTTTAAACATTATCAGCAAATGCTTCAAATTTTTCAATATTTTATCCCTGTTTGCCTTCATTCTCTTTTTCAAAGTTTACTATAGAATCATACCTCAATCAAGCTGTTTGAAAAAAGTTCACTGAGACCAGCTAAGTGCCAAGTTTTATATTATGTTCAGAGATAGACAGAAAACAAAGGGCAACATCTCCACCATGGAAAACCTAGAAGCAGAGATTGACAAGCAAGGGCTTATGTATAGTAGAGGGTTATACAGTAATGTAATAAGATAGAGTTGTGTATGTGAGGCATTAGAGGGATATTACTCAGACTATATGACCTCCAAAGATTTCACCACTTGAAGTCCACACCTTTGTGTAGGCAGACTGCAGGTAGTACCTGTGACTTGTTTCTAATCAATAGAATATAGCAAAAATGATGGAATGTCATACCTATAAATATGTTATTTTATGTTAGATTTCATCTTAGCTGACCAGAGTGAAAGATTCTCCTTCTAGCTTTGAAGAAGCAAATAGCCATGGTGTGAACTGCCCATGGAGCCATGTGGCAGGGAAGAGAGAGCTGCCTTTAGTGAAGGGATGGTCTCGGGCCAAAAGCCAACAAGAAGCTGGGACCCTCAGTCACACAGCCACAAGAAAATTAACTCTGCTAACAATCCAAATGAGTTCGAAAGTGCATTCTTCCCTATTTTAGCCTCTGGATAAAAATGCAACCTAGCTGATATTGTGAACTTGTCTGCTTACTTACAGACTTGTGTGACCCTGAACAGAGAATGCATCTAAGACTCTTGACCCACAAAAGTTTGAGGATAACAAATGAAAATTGTCTTTTGGGGGGGTGGGGGTACAGGGTTTTTTTTTTAGAGATGGGGGAGAAAGAGTGTGGGGCAGTGCAGAGAGAAAATAAAGAATGCTAAGCAACTCCACACCCAACATGAAGTCCAACATGGCGCTCTCTAGGGCTCTATCTCACAACCCTGAGATCATGAAATCAAGAGTCTGTTGCTTAACCCACTGAGCTACCCAGGAAAATTGTATTAAATTGCTAAGTTTGTGGTAATTTCTTATGAAACAATAGAAAACTAGTATCAGGGGAGAAAAAGAGGTAGGGTCCAGGAAGGCTATAATTAGAGGCATAAAGATATGAAGACCAGAGAGAAAGGGGCCCATTAAACACCTTTTAAGAAAGGGTAAGTTCTATTCATTCTACAAATATCTACCAAGTGTCCACTGTTTGTAAAACACTAGATCAGATGTTGTGAGGAATGCAGTTGAATAAGACATCATTTCAACTCCTCACCCTTTCAGGGATGGTGCTCAGATCTGTATCTCTGGAACTGATCTCTCTTGGGCTTCAGCAGAAAACATCTGACTACCTGAGAATATAAGCCCTATGAGGACAGTAACTTTGTTCCCAATATCTACAAATATGACCAAAAAAAAATACTGTTCAGTGAAGGAATGAAGAAAATTAATAACAAAGCATTTTAATTTAGAGAGCTTTTGGATATGTCCACAGAATTTACAGAATGCTGTTACTTCTAATGTAGTTTAAGCATGTGCTTTTAAACTTTCAAGTACATACAAAAACACACCAGTATGATAATAGGCAACATTTTTAATATATCAGACACAGATTTTTTTTCTCTTTTTGTTTTTAAAGAACTTAAGAATTACATGGGATGTTTGAAGGGCTGAGTTTGAAAGAAGACTTCTGTCCACATCTTTTTGGAAAACCCAGGTAAAATCTCAAATTGAACTACAAAAGAAGCTGGAAACAGAGCCCTTCTATGTTCCTGGAAAAAGAAAAAAGGTAGTGGAGTTGAGTGAACACCTGACAATGTCCTGCCAAACTTGCTGAAAGTTGAATTCTAATAATTTTATTTGCTTTATTAATTTTTTGTATTACGTATCTTCCTTTGAATTACCTGATACATCTGACTCTAAACAAAATACTTATTTTTAGACCATGACATGAATGGCCTGTTACATTGAGGATTAGATAACAATTTACTGTAGAGAAAGAAACATAATTTATTGGAAATTAGAGAAAGTAAATTTTAAAATACTAAAATGGCATGCTTTGCTTTAAATTTTAAAAATATCACTCCATTTGGTATGTTTTTTGACCAAGGAAGGATATAAAGGGAAAAATGAGAAATAATTTATTGAATCAAAAATGTGATTATTTTGGATCGCCTGGGTGGCTCAGCAGTTGAGCGTCTGCCTTCTGCTCAGGGTGTGATCTCAGGGTCCTAGGATGGAGTTCCTCAATGGGCCCCCAATAGGGAGCCTGCTTTTCCCCTAGTCTCTGCTTCTCTCTGTGTCTCTTATGAATAAGTAAATAAAATCTGTTTTTAAAAATGTGATTGTTTTGGCAAATGCTAAGTGATATAATTAGCACAAAAGCAGCTTATTGTCACCTATAATATATAAATTCTGTGCTCTAACATAATATGACCCATAATATTTTTTTAAATTATTTGCAGTATGGGAAGTGATAATGCAAATTTAACTTCTGGTTCCAGGTATATTTAATTATTTCTAGTAGTGTTCTTTCCCTAGCAAATCAAAGTAATTATTGATTTGTCAGTTTGAAATGATTCAGCAAGCAAGTACTCTGGATGAGTCTACATGTATGTAATCATCCCTTCAACAATATTATTAATGTCTTCTTTCCCTACATAAATATACCCAGCAAAATCCGCATACCGTTTATTCTTTTGAACCATTCTCTTTTCTTTTCTTTTTATTCAAGTATAATTAACATACAGTGTTATATTAGTTTCAGGTATACCCAGGCACTGATATTTCTCTCTATGTCTCTGTATAGATCCCATTATATTTTAATTAAGCCAATTATTATATGTAATATATACTTATTAACTCATTTAATTCTTTAGATTTTATTTGTTTATTCATGAAAGACACAGAGAAAGGCAGAGACATAAGCAGAGGAAGAAGCAAGCTCTCCACAGGGAGCCAGATGTGGGACTGGATCCCAGGACCCTGGGATCACAAACTGAGCCACAGGCAGATGCTCAACCACTGGCACCCAGGTGCCCACTCATTTAATTCTTATAACAAATCTTCAAGCAAGAACTATTATAGTGCCATTTTACAAATAAGAAAACCAAGGCACATTGAAGTTAAGCATTTTTACCAAAGCTACTTAGTAGCAGAGCCAAATGTCAGGTTTTTACATTGTTATACTGCTGTCCAAGGATAGCAGAGAAATTACTATATTAGTCATATCAAATATTAATCATATTAAAATGATAAATTCATAGTTAAATCCATTTGAGTTTGACCTTAGAATCTTTAGGTTCTATAAATAAAGTCATGTAGCAGCAGAATAATCTTAACTAATCAAGCAAACTAGATTTGATGAAATTCAGAACTTCTATAATATATAAAATCCTTCTAAGTTTAAAATAGACTTCACGTACAGTTAGAGTGTATGTAAAATTTTAAACATTTTGAGATTACGTATAATTTTATTATTGTTACAAGATATCAATGTTTTAAAATCTTAAATTAGCATAGTGTTAGTTGTACAAGTCATAAATTTAGGTAATAATCTATTGATATTACTTCCTGATTTTAAGTTGTTATATTTTTACTACTCCCACCTTAATGAAACAATACTGCTATTATAACAGTTTCATCTGATGGTAAATCTGAGTTTATAAGTTAGAAAGCTCATATTATAAAATTTTTTTTAGAAAGCTCAAATTATGGGGGTTTTTTTGGAGCATGCATTGTATATATCTAAGTTTCAAATTCTCTACATGTTTCCTTTTACAATATAGCGCAAATGCAGAGTTTATTGGATCCTAGCAATTTACTCTTTATATATCAGACACAGCCAACTGAATTCTTTTTTTTTTATTTTTTTTATTTTTTTTTTTATTTTTTTAGCCAACTGAATTCTAAGTAAATATTTTCTGATTTTACCTACTATATTCCCCAAATAAGGAAAAATTCCTAAAATATCATGTCAGCAAATATTCACTTTTTTCATACAAAAATCAAAATAATTTAGTCCAAGTTTTGGTAATTAAATCTGATATCAACAGCATAATATGTTTAAATCATGGAAATAACATAAAACATGAAATGAACGTCTACCACATTGCATTAAAACAATATCCATAAAGCTGTTGATGAAGAACTGACCTTACCAACCTCCTTGATACAGGTTTATAGTTCTTGGGAATATGTAGTTCTATTTCAAAAAGCATTATTTAAGTGTATTTAACTATTAATCTTATAGCAATTTTTCTATCTTACATTTTTCAGAACAACAGCATGATATGGTCTTACCAAGTGTCCATATGTATGTGTGCTAAACATTTCCACTTAAATTGTATAAAGGGTAATTCATTAAGCCATTTAGCTGAACAGGCATGTTACTTGTAAACACAAAGAAATTTGTCTAAGTCACACATGTAAACTTAGGTCTCCAGTTCTGGGAATTACAGAGAACAAGAAGTTGTTTTTAAATCTTATTCTCTAATTCCTATTAATGCAAACTAAAATCTATTTAGTCCTTAAGCCAGTCTATTGGAGGCCATCCTTGGGTCTTTACTTATCCCAATCCCCCACAACAAATTCATTAGGAATTTCTGTTGGTCTAATTTCCCAAATATCTCATCAAACCAACATCTACTGAAAACACCATCATCTTTCAGATGCCTATTCATTTCTACCACTAGAATTTAAGTTTTAGATGAGATGGCATGGACCACATCTGACTTATACATCACTGTCTTATTCATTATTGCATAACAGATACTTAATAAAGAAATTAATGGATGCATTTTCTAAG